GAAACCATATCAAAGCAATCAAAGACTGATCCAAGGAGCAATAGCTGCAACGGTCAAAATGTAGAGCAACGGTAGTATTGCTCAATACTAGGCACTAATTTAGGATCTAAACATTTACATGTAAATATATATATACATCAAATCATTGTACATAATTATTCAAGGAAGAATACAATCAATTTCTTCTAATTCTTTCTGCTGTCAGCGTTCGCAAGAGTAAGTTTGTAGATTTTGTGGGTACGTTCGCAATTTTCTCTGTATATTCTTGTTTTCAGAAAGTTTGGATTTTTTGGGCTCAAAGTTTTATTTTTGATCTTTTCAGCTGAAATATCATCTTGATCTTATAGTTGGGTACGTAGCTGTACCCTTTATTGTTCCCTGAGTCAGTGGGGTGCATATGTTGTTGAACAGTTTCGAGCTGATTCATGGGGTTCTCGGTTCTCCTATGTGAAGGGGAAGATATTGACCCATCTCTGTATGAGGTGGAAATATCCGGCCTTTCGTCGGAGGAATTCGAAGAAATCAGGAGATTGCATGCCAGCGATACTGTCTTTGATAGAGAAAAGGATTCAATCGAGTTGAAGCTGGCGAAGCTTTGCCTCGAGAGGAACATCCCCTATTTGGGAATTTGCAGGTGTTCCCAAGTTTTAAATGGTGCACGTGCAGGGACCCCTTTGCATTGGGAAAGAACTGTCGAAAAAGTTACCGGAAAATCAAACGGTAGTGCACATTGATTATGATAATTATGATGGGCATAGGCATGCGATAAAGGTGGTAGAGAATATCCCTTTGCATGAATTGTTTAATGATTCTCTGGAGGAAGAGAAAATGGAGATTTGGGTTAATGCTTATCACCAGCAAGGTGTTAAGAGATTAGCGCAACGTTTTGTTCCAATGGCTTTTGCACCAGATGGTCTTATTGAAGGTTTCTATGATCCAGATGCTTATAATCCAGATGAGGGTAAGTTTATCATGGGTCTCCAATTCCATCCTGAGAGAATGAGGCGGCCGGATTCTGATGAATTTGATTATCCAGGATGCCCATCTGCTTATCAGGTATCATAAAGATTCTTTTGATGGCTTACAAAGGTACTGTTTTGATGTGAAGTATTATGCAGTATGTTGCTGATTGATTTTGATGAAAAATTGTTGCAGGAATTTGTTAAAGCAGTAATTGCTTATCAGAAGAAGCTTAATAGCACAACATCTGTGCCAAAGCCTCTCAAACTCAATCAAGAAATGGAGAAGAAAAGAAAAATGATAATCAGAAGCTTCTCCCTTGCTGAAAACTTACACTCAACAGGTTCTGAGATGCATCCTTCTAAAGAATCTGAACTTCAAGCTGGAGCAGAATTTCTTGAGGTATAAAATGATGAAAAAAGAGTGGATTAACAAGTGTTTGGGATTAAATGTTTCACTCACCAGAGTTATTAACTGGGTTCCTTGTTTGCAGTCAAATATAGATTTGAGCATTCAACAAGAGAACAGATTGAAGCAGATGGGTGCAACTGTGAGAAATGGAGGTTCTTATATTGAGAGATTGAAGCAGAATGAGGAGAGAGAAAGATTTACAAAAAATATGATGGGAAAAATATCTGCAGAGCAGTTGATGATCTCTTGTCTTTCTAACACATGGTGGGGAAGACATGTTCAGAAGTGCTAGAAAAGAAGGTTCATGGCATTGTCACTGACCTTGGCTCTTGAGGCCTCTCGTCATGACATTTTAAGGATATGCTTTTCTGTTAATAAAAGGACAGGTCTCCGAAATGCTCACATGAAACCTTGGTCTTGGATCCGTGTCCTTCCTCTGTATTTTGTCTTTCACCTGTTTTCTATAATTAAATTTTATTTGTGTATATTGTAGTGGTTAAACATGTCTGGTCCGTACTCTCTTCTTGTGATCTTCATTTACTACTTGAATCAAACATAAGGGCGAAAAGGTTGACACAGTCAAAACCCACACCTCCAAACAAGTACTAGAGAGGCATGCTTTACTCTCCAATTAGAACTGCTTTATATAGTAATTACATTTGTATCTTACGAGGAACTGATTAGGGCTGCTCAAAATCTTGCTTAGAAACCTGAATTGGGCTGCTAAGAAAAGGAAGCTAGATATGATAGTAGTGGAAATATAAACTCTTTTAGTTCCAAACTGAATTCTAAAATATGTCATAGCCATCTAATGTGAAAATGTGCATGCAGTTTCTGGGTGAAACAAGAGGAAGCAACTAAGATTGAAGAGCTACTTAAAAAACTGGGCGATGGCATTTCATTTTTTTTAATTAAAATAAATTAAGAATTTTTATTCATGTGGCAAGAGGAATCTTTCCATTGATTTAGAGCTGCCTTTGCCAAATTGGGAAACCTGGGAGTTGGACATAATAAGCAACTGAAGAAACAGAGCTTTCTATAATGTTTTTCAAAGTTCAAATCAACAAAGCCTGCAGCTTCACCTTCCTCAATTTTTATTTTGGGATTTCTAACCTATCTTATTGCACAGTAAATTTTATTAATTATAATATTTATAATTAATTTTATATGAATTTTAAATAAAATATAAAAATATAATATAATATTTATATTCAAATTTTATAAAAAAATTCTAAATTTAATATAAAAATTTATATATAATTAATTTAAAATATTTTAATTAATAAGTTTTAACATGTATTTTTAAAATATAAATTAGATAAACTCTTTTAATTTTTTTATGAATTTCTTTAATGCATTTCTTTAATGCAGATATCAAAATTAACTAAACATATCGAGTAGTTGAAATAAACATGCATATCTTCTTCTCTTTGAAACAATGAAATGTTCTCTTACCATGAAAAACATTTAAAAGAGTTAGCAGACAGGATTTAAAGTAGAAAAAGACCGTCCAGAGGGAGGCACTTTCGAGGAAGGTCATATTCACTTTTTCAAGTCGTCGTAATTCAACATTTAAGAGTAATACACGGCAACCCAGTGGGTTCTAGGAATTTGACGGATGCGCAGAAATTACTTCCTCGAGTACATTTATAAATATAGTTCTTTATGCACCTACGTGAAACATAAGCGGTCCCTTCAGTAATAGCTTAATGGATTGTGCATTCGACTTTAAGAAAAAGAGAGATCTAGATTTTAAATTTTGAAACAGATGTAGCAAGATTTTTAAAAAGGAGGTTATATTTAATTTTTCAATTTTCTGTTTCTAGAGAGTTTTGCTGGTTTATCAAAGGACTTTATTAATTATGAACTTGCTTGCAGGCCGCAGAACAAGGTGCATGTGAGGACAAGGAGATGAAGATGTGCAGATGTTGATTGGCTTTGATCATCGTATAGGAGTAAATTGCCCATGACTTTACAAGTCAGATTGAACCGTGTTCTACACTTTATAATTAAAAATCATGCGATTAATTCATACAGCCATGACGTTACATACAAGTCAGATTGACCCGTGTTCTACGCAATATATTGAAAAAGAGCGGTGCTAGGAGCATTCGCTTTTTGCACTCGCTTTTTGCACTCTCCGGCCAACACTTCCCCTTTTATTGGGCCACGTAAGCTTCTTTAAAGCTTTCGGGCGCAACCTCTCGAAACCAAAATAACGTGGCCCAATAAAGAGAAAGTGTTGGCCGGAGAGTGCAGGAGGCGAGTGCCCCTAGCATTGCTCATTGAAACATGAAGATTGTTTGGCATCGCACAAAACCAGTCAAAGGAGGAAACTTCCGCTTCCATGGATAGCAAGCAAAAGCGCGTAAAACGGTCTTATTTTTCATTACTTTTCCCACCTTTATTTCCAGGTAGACTTTTTAGTCTTTCCCTCCACATTAATTAGGAAATTTCCTTGTTATAAACTCTGTCATTATCTTCAATCTAGCATGTCATAACATGGGCATCATCCTACCGTGCCATATGTGGAATCAGAATAGATTAGCCAGATGATCTAGCCATCACATAATCCATACATACAACTAAATACTTCCTAGTTATTATGGGAGAATGGTATTATTGCATAAGACATAATAGTTCCGTCCTACACGCTAGAAGAGTTCTTTTCAATGGAATTATCGGAGTAAATTGATGCAAAGAAGTTGAAAAGTCGAAGTCTTTTAAGTCAACCAAATGCATTGTCTAGCAGTTTCTTTGAATTATCTTCACAGCCTAGCTTTTCATTCAGGCACTTACATCCCATACCAGTTCTTATTTTCCCTCCAGTGTCCAGACCAACCACTTCTTGAAATTCACCCATCAATCCCTCCAGTTCCTCATCCCCATCCGTTCAAGAATATGAACTACTTCCTCCTTTTTGTTATGATACTCTCGGTTTTCTCTGAGACTCCGTTGTCATCAAGCAACCCTGATTTGTACGGACCCTGCAGTAAGGAGTTCAAGTGTGGGAATGTTTCTGCAGGCTTTCCATTCTGGGGAGGAGAAGATCAAAGACCGCATGAATGTGGCCATCCAGGACTTCAACTCCAGTGCGAGGATAATCATGCTGCTATTTTAGAAATTGTCGGTGTTCCATATCGAGTTCTTGATATTAAAAAGGAAACCAAAATACTGAAGATTGCAAGGGAGGACTATGAGGGTGGAATTTGTCGCCAGAATATCCAGAACACCAACCTCGATCCCACTCTCTTTGTCAGTGCTCCAGGTTATGTAAATATTACATTACTCTATGACTGCCCGATGGATATACCCACACTTAAAAACTTCACCTGCAGTTTCAATGGAATCAATTCTAGCAAGAATTTCATTCATCCAGGACCATTTCTTGGTCCTATGATTTGTTCTGCCAGTGCCTCTGTCCTGGTTCATGAACCTTCGCCTACAGTAGACGCCATCGAACAATCCTTAAAAGATGGATTTGAAGTAAAATGGAAGGTAGACGATGAAGGGCGCTGTCCGAAGTGCCTTAAATCCAAGGGATCCTGTGGCATTGACCCTGGGAATAAAACTGTTTGCCACTGTCAGGAACCAGGTAGTTCATTTGAAGAATGTCCTATTTTTCCCCTGCCTCCTGGCGCTTCCCAACCACCACAACCACCATCGAACGCCAATAAGCGAGGTAAGTACCTTATGTCAAGGTATTGTTATAGTATAGAATAAGACATTAAAAGAGTCTTACTGGTTTTTGCCCTGATTTTTTTTTTTTTTTTTTTGATCATCTGCATATTAGATTTGTTGATCGTAGACATAGTAATGATCTGATTAGGTAGCAAATTCTGATTCAAAAGTCTCACTCACCAAGCCATTACGTTCCCATTTATTTTAAGTGTTGCCACACCACAACAAACTTTAATTTTAGTTGTATATCACACACTATAGAGCAACCAACCATAAAAACATTAGGTAATCTGTCCATTCTTAGACATTAGATAACTGGTATGAAGGACTATCCATTGCCAACTGCTTCATGGGCCATTTAATTGGTCTAGGTGAGGTTAAATGAGTCCCACACAATAAAGAAAAGGAGCCCTGTTCATTTCATGAAGGGAAAAGGGAAAAATATCTATATCTAGAAAAGTTTGCATGACAGAAGATTGAGGATTAGTCTGGAGCTTGAATCTCTTGGTTCAACTATTGCAAACCTAAAAAAAGAAAAAAAAAACATCCTATTGCATGAAGAATCTGTCAACCATCCTTTTGATTTGGTCATCTAAACCAATCCTTCTAGTGATTTCAGGAAGACTTTTGACAACGTATTGAGAAAGTTCGAAACGTCAAATGTTAGGAATTCATGTTACTGTTAAATCTGCTGTTTTAGAAGCAAAGAAGCTACTTCATCAAAATTAGGAGGCAGATAATACCGCACAAAAATTAGGGGAAAAAAAAAGGCTGTAAAAATTCCAAATGCAGCTAGAACCCTCAACCGAGCAAATCCCCAAACAATCCCTGATGAAACATACAAAAGATATTTGCTCCTTAGTTTTTGATATTATGAGCTATTACTATTCAAACTTCATTTTGGTGCACTAAAAAGTAAAGCAAATGATTCAGCACTCAATCAACAAGACAAATGTTATGAACCCTTGCTAGAAATATTTAGATGCTTTTGGTATTAGTTGACTGACGATGTATTTTAGTCGGTAGTCAGACACTGTATTCAAGCAGCCTCTCATACGTCGGATATATGTTCCTCTTAAGAGGGCATCGTAGTGCTAACTCTTAGTTTCAAATCGGTAGTTGGCTGCATTAGTTCCTTCCAATCATTTAGGTTTATTAAAGTAGCAGTCCTGTTAAATGCAACAAGAAGCGCAACTAACTTCATATCCATTGTTCCCTTTCCTTCCTAATATCTCTCTCTATTTCTTCATAAATGCAATCCACTTGTTCTTCCATCCCTCTTCCTGCTATCTTGATCTTTCTTTTCACCTTGATCAAACTTCAAACTAGTTTTTGTGCTGGTAATTTATCTTTCTCAAACTGCAACCTAACTTTTAAATGTGGAAGCATAGAAAATGTGAGCTACCCTTTCTGGGGAGTGAATAGAGCAGATTACTGTGGTCAACCAGGGTTTGAGCTGGATTGCCAAAATGATGTGCCAAAGATCAAGATGCTGAACAACACCTTCAGAGTTCTCGGTATCAACACAGAACAGCAGATTCTTAAGGTTGCCAGCGATGATTAGGGGGATGATACTTGTCCTACGGATTTCATAACACCACCATCGATTTCAAGCACTTTAGTTATGTTTCCAGCGGCCTTAGTAACCTCACCATATTCTACAATTGCACCTTAGATTCAAACTCTTATTATTATTCTCTACCTCTATTAATTGTACCATAAATAATAATACCAGCCTCAATTTTCTGTCCCTGTACGGTTCCTATACCAGCTCAAATGATCCCCTGCTAGAAGAATGCACCAGCAACGTCCAAATTCCGATCAACGAAACAGCTGCCCAGATTCTATATCAATAGCCATGGATGGTTAATTTTACTCTGAAGGCAGGTTTCGACCTGCAGTGGGAAATAGGTACTGATCAATACAACAGATGCTTGAATTCTGGTGGGGCTTGTGGATATAATAGGACCACAACTCAACTCACTTGCTTCTGCCAAAACCAGCCCTGGCCAAGCACATGTCCAAGACCAGGTTTGTGGCTCTTCTCTTGAGCTTTTCTAGTTCTACAGATTAATTTCATTTAGGAAACTGGCCGGTCAATGATCATCCTTTATGCATTTCTGATTGTTCATATCACCATCATCTAATTTTGAGACTTGAAGACTTTTTGTTCTTACACTCCAGGATTCAACCTCAGGAACCAAAATTTCCCGACGTTTAATTCTGTTCTAGTCTCATATTCTTGATCTTGATCCTTTTTACACACAAGGGTGATTTCTTCAACAAGGAAATTGATTGATACGCTGGATTTCTTTGACTTTACTAGAGATGGAGACTGAGTTTTCATATTCTGGAATTCTGAGTTCTTCAGAATATCTAAATTTTCTCAGTGGACATATATGCATTTCGTCTCTTCTGTTAGTCTACCTAATTTCATTTGACCACCACTAGATTAGTCGTTCCAATAGAATTAATTTCACCCTTTCACTTATTCAAACACCACCGTTTTTGCATCATCATGATTAGTAGTTAAAACCACTTCATCCCCATCTTCTTATTTTTTTCATTCTCCTGTTTCATCGGACAAAATGCATCCCCTTCACCTCCCTTGGTCTTTTTTCTTTATCATCATCGTCGTCGTCGTCTTGATCCATGCTCCTAAATTTGCATCCTCTATTTTCCAAATATGCTGTCCAAACCTACTTTATTGTTTTTCAATTCCCTATCAGCTCCATTGCTCCTTCCCCTCACCTGAGAGGGAGCACCTTCTTCTATCGGGAATTTAATACAATTTAAATGGTTAAATATTTTTATTATTTTAATTTATTTTTTTCCTTAAAATTTAAATGTTTCTCCGACTCCCACTTTTTTAGTTTATCTGAAATTGAGCACCATCTGGCGTCCCAAACATTAATCAACTCAACAGGGTAGGGAAAAGGAAAACGAAAGGAATGTAATTCTTGATTTTGTCCCCCACTTTTTTTTTAAGACAGACGCCACTTTCTATGTCACCGTTCAGTTCGAGTCAACAAAATCATCCTCCCTAGTCAACAGTCAACTCATATACCCCTTCCAGTCCGCCAGCTTTCTTTTCCCAAAATGCAACACCTATTCTGCAGCCTGCCTCTCCTCAGGCCTTCACCATGCTCCCTCTGGTTTTCCTCTTCCCGCCCATCTTCCTCCTCTCCGCCCATGGAACGCATTCCTCTGCCCAAAACGACACTTCCGCCTTCCCCAACTGCAACCGGACCTTCTCATGTGGGGGCCTGCCAAACCTCTCTTACCCATTCACCGGCGGGCCTCGTCCAACATACTGCGGCCCGCCAGGATTCCTCCTCACCTGCACCGACGACGGAATCCCCCAGTTAATTATGGACTCACTGAGTTACAAGATCATCCAAGTCGACCGAAGCATACAGAGCATGACGCTTTCCCGCTCGGACCTGTACAACAACACATGTACCCATAAATTTGCTAACACCAACCTGAGTCCCCTTTATTCAATCTCAGCCCAGACAACCAAAACCTCTCGCTGTTCTATGAGTGTACTCCGGTCCAGGTGTATACCCGCAGAACCTGTTCTGGTGCGGATTTTGGAATTCTAGTAGTGCCGCGTACCATGTGTTGGGTCCAGTTCCGAACGATCCCATATTCAAGATTATTCGCTGTAACATCAGCATCAAACTACCTATGTTGCAAGCTGCGGCGGATAAACTTGAGACCAATAGGTCTACTCTCAGGGAAGCTTTAATGGAGGGATTTAGCGTGATTTATACTACTCCAAATGAGGACGATTGCGTTAGGTGTCGCGATTCGAGTGGGGAGTGTGGGTTTTCGGATCAGTTTGTTTGCATTTGTGGTGATCGAATTTGTGACATACCAGGTATATCTGATGACGTATTTCATGTTAATTTTGGTCCATCCATATAAATAATTCTTATAGTCTGTAAGATTATAATTACAGCAAAGAGTTTTTAGAAGAAATGTTCTTGGGGTTGATTTGTTCACTTTGTTATCTATGTGATAATGTTGGTTCTTTGGCTAATTTTTGGTCTCTGAATTATTTCTGCATTTTGCTTCCAGAACCATAGTTAAGTTCACCTGAACTTCTGAGGTTTTATAGCTTGGTCTATCTTGATGTTCAATTGTTACAATTCTATCATTGATGTTTTAACTGAATTTTTTAATCTTTATGATTGTTGCAGGTAAGAAAAAAATACTGCTCATTACAGGTAATTACCCTTAATATCTTATATTTTTCTAGTATTAACATTTTTACCAAAGGTGAGTTATAATTTGAACATTCTTTTCTGTTTTTGATCTTTGGGCCTCTTTATAGCTGGTGGAGTAATTGCTTGTATTCTTCTGGGAGTCTGGTGCTTATTATGGATACAGAGAAGAAAGAGAATTGCTGCTCAATCTCAAAGCAAAGACTGGCCTGCAACTCCTCCATTAGGCAAAGGCCTGGACCCTACTACTCCCTCCACTACTAATTCTGAAAGCATTCCTTCTTATCCCTCAGCAATGTCTGACATAGAAAAAGGAAGCACCTACTTTGGAGTTCAGGTCTTCAGCTATGCAGAGCTTGAAAAAGCAACTGATAATTTTGATCCTTCTAAAGAACTTGGAGAGGGGGGTTTTGGCACTGTTTACCATGGTGAGAAGATAAATGTTTTTCTTGCCTTCTCTGTATCAGTTTCCTATGTCAGGCATTGGTTAATACTTTTTGTTTTCCTGGTCTTTTCATGGTTCCTTCAATTCTTTGATCAGGTGTGCTCAGTGATGGGCATGTTGTGGCAGTAAAGCGCCTGTTTGAGAAAAATCTCAAACGTGTTGAACAGTTCATAAATGAAATTAAGATCCTAGCTGACATACGACATCCAAATCTTGTGACGCTATATGGATGCACCTCAAGGCACAGCAGAGAACTTCTCCTTGTGTATGAATACATTCCTAATGGAACTGTGGCTGATCATCTTCACGGAAGAAGGGCAAAGTCTGGCTTGCTTACTTGGCCTGTTCGGTTGCGCGTTGCCATAGAGAGTGCTAATGCTTTAGCTTACCTTCATGGTAAAGAAATCATACACCGTGATGTCAAAACCAGCAACATTCTTCTAGACAACAGTTTCCATGTGAAAGTGGCTGATTTTGGTCTGTCTCGACTTTTCCCCAATGATGTTACTCATGTGTCCACTGCTCCGCAAGGGACCCCTGGCTATGTTGATCCTGAGTATTATCAGTGCTACCATCTTACAGACAAAAGTGATGTATATAGTTTTGGGGTGGTGTTGATTGAGCTCATTTCTGCAAAGCAAGCAGTAGACACAAATAGGCACCACTTTGATATTAACTTGGCTAACATGGTCATCAGCAGAATTCAGAATCAGGCATTACATGAATTGGTTGATCCACCTCTTGCCTTTGAAACTGATTTTGCTGTCAGGAAAATGGTTGCAACTGTTGCAGAACTGGCTTTTCAGTGTTTGCAGCAAGAGAGGGATATGAGGCCTTCCATGGAAGAAGTTTTGGGGGTTTTGAAGGGAATGCAGAATA